AAATTCTTCACACTGTGAGCACAAATGAGGGACACCATAGCTCAGTAACAGGAAGACCTACCTCCCTTCAAGAAGACTGAGAGCCTCAGCTCCAGCTCAGTGATGACATGTGGTAACTACTCTAAAAAGGCAAGAGACAACTTCACAGAGAAACATGAATTCTAAGCTGATTTTTATAAAGAATGAATAAAAGCTTGACAACAGGAAAGAACATTCAAGAAAGAATGAACAACATAGGAAAAAAGAAGGTGTGTAGGCTTGACTATGGCTGGGGCTCAAGACACATGTTGGGAAAGAGCTGAAGCTGGAAAAACGCACTGAAGAGAGACTGCGGACTATACTGAAAACTTCAATTTGACGCTCTGTGAATAATCCCACAGGGAGCTGTGAGTGAGTCTAAAAAAGAAATTGACATGGTTCGATTTGATCTTAAGATAATCTTGGCAATCGGAGTGCCACTTGTGTTTTTCTGGGAACTTACTGTATCATAGCAAGTTCATGTTTAATACTTTAAATACTAACTTTTTGACTAAATACTGAAATTTTAATATTTATGAAGTTTCTAATAATGCACCAGACTTTAGGCTAAGCCATTTTCAATGTAGTATCTCACTTAATCCTCCCAAGAGTGTTATTGACAGGATTCTGTAACTGTCCCGATTTGACAGGCAGAGAACCTAAGCATTAGAGGAAGTTTGGGTCACTGCCCAGGTCTGTATAGTTAGTGCCTGAATTGAAACTCAGGCAGTTTGGTTCTACAAGACTAGTTTTAACCACCAGGGCAGTGGTCTCTGATTCTGGATGCACACAAGAATCACCAGGGGGAACTTAGAACAAAAGCAAAGACACACTAATGCCGAGAATTCTCAACTAAATCATAATTTAAGTAATTCTCAATTAAACCAAGACCCCTAGGAGCAGGATCTTGGCAGACATTTATTTTAAAAGTGCCAGCAAGTGACTCTGAAAGACAGGGTTGTAATCTACTACGCTGGGCTATCCTGTCACCTTAACCTACAGTGAACAGTCATAAACACCCATATTCCACCACCACCCCAAAAGCACACAAGAAACAAAAAACCAAAAAAACAAAAACAAAACAAAAACAAAACAAAAACAAAAACAAAAAAAAACAAAAAACACCTACTAAATAGTAAAATCACAGACTATGAAGACCTTCATGGCTTTTTTCCAGTTTTACACTCACCAAGAAAAACTACAGCCTTCATCTGTGTTAAGACTGGCAGAAAGCACAGAAGAAAAATCAAAGAAGTTGGGGGTAAAAAGGAAAAGATGACAGAGGGGTTTCAAGATGGGAAGGAAGAGAATGGCTAAAGTTGGGGCTGCTGAAGGAATAAGACACTATCTACTGATGAGCGGTTGGTAATATCAAAGGCACATTTGCAGAATGTTTCCTTTTCAGTAATTGTACAAAGACTCCCTTGCCATTACAAAGCACTTTTCTTCTTGGCGGATTGAAGAATGCTTTCCCAACTAAATGTATCCCAGTAATATTCAGAGCTTAGGTCCAACATAATCATAAGTTGCCTTGTTATTATGGAGGTAGCAGCCCCATTTAATAGCATATTAAATGCATTATTCATTTATGTAACTCAGACCTAGGGACAGCTGCTGGGATGGAAATAGAACCATTCTGTAATGCAGAAAGCAGGTGTGTGCTTTTACTTGAGTAAATGAACTCTGTATTTCTGCACAATTTTCTTCTAAATTTCAGGGACAGGTCTGGTAGGGCTAATGGGATGCCATTTTCATCCAGGAAATAAAATGGCTTCAGAATGCTTTTTAATGAGCGTTTTAAAAAAATTACCAACAGTCTTCTCTATGGCAGAATCCCGGGGGGGTTGATTCGTGCTTAGGATTTAAACAGAACTGTTGCTGCACGATTCAGGAAAGCCTGGGGTAATGATTGGTCAGAAGAGTGACAAACAAAAGGAATGTTCTCTAGCTGATGATGTCAGTGGTGATGGTGAGTCCTTGCCCCTGTAGCCACTCGCTCGCCAAGGCAGAGTCACAGGTGTGCTTGGATGCTAAGCGATTAAAAATCATTGGTGGTGGGTATTACAGAGGGCACAGATTGCATGGAGCACTGGGTGTGGTACAAAAACAATGAATACTGTTATGCTGAAAATAAATTTTTAAAAAATGATTAAAAAAAATCATAACATGCCTTTAGTTTGCATGGCACCTTGCCTCTGAAACACGCATTTTCTGACGCACAAACTCGCTGGGATGCCGTAATGACTGTGTGACATTGCTCGTCATTTTCTTGCCTCCATTGCTGGTGCCCAGAATGTCAGATGTCAGCACTCTCCAGTGCCGGCACCTTTTTTTTTCCTTCTCTCTCCCGCCTGCCATTATTTTCTCTGTTAAGCAGCATGCACCCCTAAGCACCTAAAATGGATTTACTTAAATAGTAGATGGATGGATGTTAAAAATGCTCAGACTTGATAGTGAGCCGTGGAACTGGTAGGGATCCTAGTACAAGAGCAGAGAGTTCCTGGCTGCCTGCAGGGCTGGGTGTTAACCCCTTAGTTGCTGGATTATGCAGAGAAGCAGGGACTCCGAAGGTAAGGATTAGTGGCAGCTGGTTCATGAGCTGAGGTGCTTGAAGGGTTTGGGGGCAGTGGTAATAACCACCTGCTGTGCTGATATTTCAACATTTAAAATGGCACAGTCATCCCAGTGTGGGCCTCCTGATTATCAGTTGTGCTGTCCCCAGGGATGAGGTGCCCTCGGGGAACTTCAGTCACCCACAGGAATACCATCAAACAAGGTATAAATGGGTTCCTATCAGTAAATCATCAGGAGCCTTTAAGAGTTTAGAGGAGGGACAATCTCCTTCCATTTAAAGAGGCAATAGAGTAGTGGTAAAGAGAGAATATTCTAGAGACAAATTGTCTGGGATCCTGACTGGGTGATCTTGGGAAAACTGGTTAACTTTTTCGAATCTTAATTTCTTCATCTGCATGTTGAGAATAAAAATACCTTCCTTAAGCAGAACTGTTTGGAATATTTTAAAGATAAATGACAAAAGTCATGTTAAGAACTTAGAGCAATGGCAGACACAGTAAATACTCTCTACATATCCACTTCTTACTATTTCACTTATTATTATTTTACCATCACAGTCAGGAAAAGACAGAGGACAGAAGCTGTAACCCAAAGTGGAAATTTTAGGCAGCTCAGAGAGCGTGTGGGAAGACCTAGAAGCAGAAAGAGCAGAAGAAAATAAGTACTTTTCCAGAGACTGGAAAGAGAGGTTTGACTAGGGCAGATGAGCTTTTTGGTGAGAAAGAATTCAGAGATGTAGGGCAGTTAGCTTGTGGAAGGCTTCATGGGCAAGATTATGGGATATGACTTATCCCAAGGACAGTTGGAAGCCGTGAAGGTTATGAACAGGTAGGAGAAATAATATTAAATAAAAATAACTGGCAACAATTTCCTAAGCACTTGCTAATCATCAGGGCAGTTTTAAATACTTTGTGTACATTAATCCATTTAATTTATACAATTACCCTATGAGGTGAATTAAATATTAATAATTGACCTTGTAGTGATCCACAGCTTTCACAGTACTTCCCCAGACAGTATTTAATTTGACTTTCTCAACCATGGTCTTAGGCAGTCGATCCCAAGACTCGGGGACAGAGGAAAGGACATTGGCCAGATTTGAAGGGGTTGGAAAAGTATAGCCTGCAGGTCAAATGTGGCACACTGCCGGTATCTGTATATAGTTTTACTGAAACCCAGATGTATCAATTCTTTTGTGCGTTATCTGTGTTCTCTTATATGCTACAATCAAAGAGTTGAGTACTTGTGACAAAGGCCATATAGCTGGGAAAACTGGAACATTTCCTATCTATCCCTTTATATTAAAATTTCTCTGGTCTAGAAGAGTGGAAAGACCTTAGACTTTGCTTCCACTTTGAGCTTCACCGCTCACTCTAGCCAAGTAGGCGTGGGAAGTGGGATATCTGAGTCCGCAGAGAGGTTACCACGGACCCCACACAGAAGGATGATGAACAGATAACATCAAAGCTCAAAGTCTTAAAGGTTAATTGTTCTACAACCACAGATTCTAATTTATTATGAATCTATAAATTGCATAGGACACATTTGTAGAATAATCTTTTTTTTCCTATTAAAGCTAAAATAAAAAGGAATGAGCAAAAGAGGAGGGAAGATTACACAATCTCTAGACTGGTCTCCTTAATAGGAGTTTTTCAGTATTTAGCCAGTACAGTCCCTCATAAAATATTGAGGACAAACTCTCAAATTTAGCCAGCTTTCTGTACGAAACTATTACTGCAGCATCCTCTGTGGGGTCTAATCTTGAATCGCATAATCCATAACAGTCTTTATCTGAATTGCAAATGCCCTTGCAATATATAGTACTCAATTTAACCCTCAGTTCTATAGCCTTTGAAGTGTCTCCTGGATTATCCACATGTAACTCTTCAAGATTATAGGGGTGCCTGTGTGGCTCAGTGGGCTAAAGCCTCTGCCTTCGGCTCGGTTCATGATCCCGGGGTCCTGGATGGAACCCTGCATTGGGCTCTCTGCTCAGCAGGGAGCCTTCTTCCTCCTCTCTCTCTGCCTGCCTCTCTGCCTACTTGTGATCTCTCTCTGTCAAATAAATAAATAAATAAAATCTTTTTAAAAAAATAAAGATTATAAATTTAGTGAGGCCCAGGACCACATCTTCTACTCTTGTGCATTTCCCATAGCTCTGAAGGGAAATAATTGAGTGACTGAATGAAAGAATCTCTTCAAGTGCTAACAGTAGGTACAGTATGTTACTATGATGATGGGCCTTTCCGTTGGGTGCTTTATATGAATTAGCTCTAGTTCTCAGAGCACCATGAAGCATGGTTCTCCCTCGCCCTCCAGACTATGCAGTAGCGAGTCCAGCTCAAAAAAATTGGGAGTGATCCGAATTGTAATGACCTGGAACACAACTTGAGCTTTTCTCCGTGTAGGTATAGGAAAGTGGTTTCCAATAACTGCACAGACGGAGTGCGAGAGCAGTACACCGCCAAACCGCAGAAGTGTCCCGGGAAGGCCCCGCGGGGGCTGCGCATCGTGACCGCGGACGGAAAGTTGACAGCGGAGCAAGGGCACAACGTTACTCTCATGGTGCAGCTGGAAGAGGTAGGACCAGACCTGCAGCCACTTCACCTTCTAGGGCCACTGATTTTTCCTAGGAAATCAGATTTGCTTTATGTGTGTTTTTGTTTTGTTTAATTTTTTTTTCCATTTTAAATGCTGTGGACATTTTAAATTTTTTCTACTTTTGGTTCCTTGGTTTGTTGCTATTGCTCTTACCCACAGTTAATCTCGTTTTACCGCAAGGTGTTCTTCACTCTTACTTAATATGTCATTTCTTGGAAGTTCTTTCTGGATTTAACTGTGCCTCGTTGGCATTTCCAGCCAAAAGTTATCTCAGAATGAACACGTTAATGGTATTCTAAAAATAATCTAGCATAACACATGTTCAGCCTAACATACCGATGCTGTCTTCCTCTCTCAACCTGATGTCTTGGCTTTTCTTTTCCAAAGGCAGCATGCTGGTCATACACACAACACTAAGGCTAGTCTAAATATACCTGAGGGTACTTTCTTTGGCAATTTTGGCAATTGAGAGTCTGTGATTTTGTAGCATCTCCGCGATACCATTATGAGCCTCGGTGACTGACAAATCATGGTTATCTGAGATTTCTCAATATTTAGATAGTGGATAAGATGAAATTTGTACACATTTGTATTTTTAAATGTGTACAGGCATTTTTATCATCTTATAACTGAAGAAGACGTTCTCTAAAGGATAAACAATTACATTAATGATCTCAATTATCAAGCCGGACAGTCCTGCCTTTAGCTGTGTTTTCTGAGTACTAAAATCTGGGCAGCACCATGCTAGGCCTTGTGAGCACAAAGGGATTTTAAAAAGTTAATAATGATACCAGGATTAAGATCTACATTGTTGACTTCCAGGTTCTTCTGATAGCTCAGTGGTTTTCAGTCTTTAACATGAGTAAAAGTTACGTGGTGAAAATGTTAAAACAGTTTTCCGGGGGGCGCCTGGGTGGCTCAGTGGTTAAACATCTACCTTCGGCTCAGGTCATGATCCCAGTGTCCTGAAATCGAGCCCTGCCTCAGGCTCCCTGCTCAGCGGGAAGCCTGCTTCTCCCTCTCCACTCCCCCTGCTTGTGTTCCCTCTCTCTCTGTCTGTCAAATAAATAAATAAAATATTAAAAAAAAAAAACAGTTTTCTGGGCCCCATCTCCAAAGTTTCTGATTCACTAGGTTGGACGGGGCCCGAGAATATGCATTTATATACAAGACTGTGGGTTATGCATTGTGCTTCAAGAATAAACAGAACAAAACAAGAGCAAACTCAAGGGGGATAGAGTAGCCTTAGAGGCTCTGGAGTGTGACTTGAAAGGGAAAAGATGAAGCACTTAGGATTACTTTGTCAGCATTGGTCAACATTATTGCTATTTTAATTGCTGTAGGAAAAATAATTGTGAAATAAGAGTATGAAATTCTGGCTCAGATGGTGCTGATGCTTCAGGAACCACTTGGAGAACCATCCTTCTGAAACCCAATACTCCTTTCTGTTATTTCCTTAATAGGTACCCTTCAGCCATACCCGTTCTCCTAAATACAAGGTTCCCCAAACTTTTTCAGTCGGAACTAGAAAGATACAGACCAATTTAGGCCAACCGGAGTTGCTCGCATTTCACAGAAATACAATCTTTAGGCTTCTCCCTGAGGCCATGACATATTAGCTTGCAGCAAATCAAATGTATATATTTAGAGCAGGAGCGACATGCTGAGAGAGAAAGTGAGAGATAAGGAGGAAGAGGAGCATGAGAGTATTGTCACGAAGGTTTGGGTAAACAAAATCCTGTTCTTCAGAGATGGGAAATTCACTATAGCCATCCAACAACTCGTATTTGCCCTCAAGGACTTTGCCAATTCGTATGTCACACTGTAGAAGAGGTCATGTTTCAGATTCCCAGGTAGAAGGCCAGACAGAAAGTCTTGGCCGAACAACGGGCAGCGGGCTCACAAGCTAGAACATAAAAATTGACTTCAGGTCAGATCCCAGAGGGAAGGGAAGCATGGAGAAGGAACACAGTATTCTGTGCATTTTTCTCTCTGAGCTCTTCGGTGATATCTAAGGGATATGGACAAAAGTGAAGTAGAGTTTTTAGAAGTATTACATCTTCAGGAAATAAAAATTAGAGCCAGGGACTATTAAGAAGGAAATAATAATACAACACTAAGGTTCTGGAGACTTCTGGAGAGCTCGATCCTGGGAATGAGGACACCCCAGAACTAGACCAGGTTCTCTCAATGTTGAAACCCAATCTGGAATTATCTCAGTCTCTGAGAGGGTTAGAGTGATTTTCACCCACTCTAAATGTCTGCCAGAGCTAAAATGAACCTTTTTAGAGGAAAATAATATAAATCAGAAAGCTTACCTATTTTTTTTGTATAAAAATATTGGGTGTTTAATTTAAAATATTACATATATATCAAGAAACAAGATGACGAGGAGGAAAAAAATCGTCAGAAAAAGGAACAGTTTCCTGAGATATGATTGATACATTCATGAATGCAGATCAAGACCAAAAATGCAACCCTCCAGCAGTCATCAGCAGGAGGCGGGAACAAATGGAAGTTGTAGAAATAAAGATAGAATAACCGATGTTAAGGTGCACCTGGTTGGCTCAGTTGGTTGAGCATCAGAGTCTTGGTTTCTCCTCAGGTCATGATCCCCTGGGTGGTGGGATCATGGGAGCCCCCAAGTTAGCGCCACACTCAGCAGGGAGCCTGCTTGAGGATTCTCTCTCTCCCACCCCTCTCAAATAAACTTTAAAAAAATAACTGGTATTAAGAAGTTAGATGGGTTGACAGTTGACTGAATCCAGATGGATAGAGGATCAGTTAATTGGAAGAAAGGACAGTTGAAAGTATAACCTTTCTAAGATAAGAGAGGAAGGATTGAAGATAAAGAAAAGAGTAATAAGAGACACATGGGAGAGAGGGAAAGGACTAACACAGATGTGATTGCAGTCCTAGAGGGGAGAAGGAAGATAAGGAGCCAGAATCCGTTTTGAAGGGATAATGTCTAAGAATTTCCCCAAATTGACAGGAGGCATCAGTGTCTCCGTGTAGATTGGAAAGAATCCAAAACCCCAAGCAGGAGCTAGACAAGGAAAAAAAGGCACTTAGGTATCATATTCAAACTATTGAAATAAAAAAAACAAAGAGAAAAATTTAAAAGCCCCGCAGAACAAACTAGAATGATATCTTTGAAGTGCTGGGGAAAAACACAAATGTGGAGGTAAAATAGAGACTTTTCTCAAACAGAAACCAAGACGAGTCATGTAAGATGATTTCTATAAAAAGAAACACTACAGGTAACTCTTCAGGCATAAAGAGAATGAACCCAGATGAGAGCACAATAGTAGAAAGAAGGAAGAGCCAGAGAGAGGGCATGTATGTGGGTAAATTAAAATTAATAATAACTTTGCAGGGCGCCTGGGTGGCTCAGTGGGTTAAGCCGCTGCCTTCGGCTCAGGTCATGATCTCAGGGTCCTGGGATTGAGTCCCGCATCGGGCTCTCTGCTCAGCGGGGAGCCTGCTTCCTTCTCTCTCTCTCTGCCTGCCTCTCTGCCTACTTGTGATCTCTGTCTGTCAAATAAATAAATAAAAGTCTTTAAAAAAATAATAATAATAATAACTTTGCAAATCAGTAATGATAATCTGCTGTGGGCTTAAATATATGTAGAATTAAAACACATGACAATAATAATTCAGTATGTATTAAATGGAGTTAAAATGTTTTAAGTTCCATGAAATGTCTGTGATGAGGTAGAGGTACTAATTTGTATTAGATACCAGCATATCCAGAATAGAGAATATTTAACTATCAAACTCTTGGCAGGGGACCTGGAATAATATTAAATGTGTCTCATTAATACCAAAAAAAAAAGGCAGGAAAGAGAGAAAAAGGATCCTACTTACGTTCAGGGCTAATAGAACAGATACTGAAATGGTATATATATAAACCCAAATATTATAATTAATGACATAAAATAAATAATTAGTGATTTTCCTGGCTTGCTCAAGAAGCCTGTGTCAAACCTGAGATTGTAAAGAAATCACACCACAGGTTTTTTTCTTTAGTTTTCACATTTAAATCTATAATCTATCTTGAATAAAACCAAAGTTTATGTATGTTTTTCATTTACACATTCAATTGACCCAGCACCATTGAAGGACAATTCTTCTCTTACTGACTTGAGTCTTTGTCATAAATCAATTGAACATATTTGTGTGGGTCTACTTCTAAATACTTTATTTTGTTCCATTGGTTTTGATTTTCAAACCTGTGTTGATAATTTAAAACACTTTTTTTTTTTCTTAAGAGAGAAAGCATGGGAACAGGAGGTGGGTTGGGGAAAGAGGGGCAGAAGGAGAGGGAAAGAGAATCTTAAGCAGGCTCCACTTCCAGCACAGAGCCCAACATAGGGCTCAGTTTCATGACCCTGAAATCCTGACCTGAACCGAAATCAAGAGATGGACGCTTAACCAACTGAGTCACCCAGGTGCCCCTAGAATATATTTTAATTATTCTAGATTCAAAGTTAGCCTACATATTTGGGGATATAAATCCTCAGAACCAATAGAAGGTCATATGTGTGTGTGTGTGTGTGTGTGTGTGTGTGTGTGTGTACACATACACATACATGTATATATATATATAAAATACATTATATTCAGTTATATATGATATGCTTTATAATAGCATAAAAACAGTGCATACCTACAGGCAAACCCAAGAACTTATTTTCAGTATCTCTACCCAGAAAACAACAACACATTTGGAAAAAAAATTTTTTTAAATATAAATGTATGAAAAGATATACCATGACTGTGGGTTGGAAGATGCAGTATTATGAAAAAAGACCAATTTTTCCCACATTTATCTTATATTCAAGGCAATTTCAATAAAATCTCCAGGATATATTTATGGGTTAAAATTGACATGATCATAAAGCATATGAAAAAGTAGGAGCTCAAGAACAGCAAAGATTATCTTAAAAGATGACTCCCAAAACTGGATAGCTTACGTT